GAATTTCATTTTTTCAATTAATGTATTAAATAAAAAATTCTGACAAGAGGAAATTCGTAATTTTTAATCAAACCTCAGTCGATGTATTTATAATTTTTCCATATTTATTTATAACAAATTTGATATAAAATGAAAAAATTCAACAAATCCAGGTGGGTAACTCCTATAGGCCACGATAATTAGTCGATTGGAGTGTCGTAGTTTTTGCCAATTAAAGACAGACCATCATTTATTGGTTAATATGCAGAATAATTTCACAAGTCACTCTCTTGACAATCACTGATCTTTTGACTCTTCGTCTAGAGAATAAGTCATCCCATATTTATTTATTTATTTATTTTTTTTTTTTTGGGGCCATTCAATTTCAATCAACTTCTTCTAAAAGCATAAGATGCCTCTCCCAAATATATTAAAATATAAAAATAAAATTACTCATGTTTGTTTGGTTCGACCAAATTATATAAAATTGTTTTGAGAAGAATAATTTTAAGATTATTTTATTTCTTACAATAATATATTTTATTTTATGTTTGGAATAATATTTGATTTGAATGAATGATTAGTAAAATTATGTTTGGAATCGCTAGACATAGACTTGATAATATAATGATTATAATCTAATGGTATTTCAATATTTCACTCTCTTATTTTGAACTCCTCTTAATTCTCTCATTTTATCACTCTCATCATAGAATTTAATAGTCTCCCACAAGAGGATATAAAATCTACTAAACAATGTGAATCCAGAGATTTACTCACGTTATGTATAGGTGTCACGTTACGTTTATGTAGGTGTCACGTTATGTATAGGTGTCACGTTACGTTTATGTAGGTGTCACGTTACGTTCCGTTTATATAAATATGATCTATGGTAACATTCAATTTCCTATATATGGTTTTGCTATTATTTATGATATTAACAACTAATATTAAGGGTAAATGTGTCAGCAAACTTCTCACAGGACTTACGGAAATATAAATTTTTTAATAGGACCATATGTAGCATAAGTCTCCCTAACAGGACTTATAAATAATTTTTCCATTTTATTGTTGTATAGGAGAGCAATTATGAATTTCATTTTTTCAATTAATCTATTAAATAAAAAATTCTGACAAGAGGAAATTCGTAATTTTTAACCAAACCTCAATCGGTGTATTTATAATTTTTCCATATTTATTTATAACAAATTTGATATAAAATGAAAAAACTCAACAAATCCAGGTGGGTAACTCCTATAGGCCACGATAATTAGTCGATTGGAGTGTCGTAGTTTTTGCCAATTAAAGACAGACCATCATTTATTGGTTAATATGCAGAATAATTTCACAAGTCACCCTCTTGACAATCACTTGTCTTTTGACTCTTCGTCTAGAGAATAAGTCATCCCATATTTATTTATTTATTTATTTTGGGGCCATTCAATTTCAATCAACTTCTTCTAAAAGCATAAGATGCCCTCTCCCAAATATATTAAAATATAAAAATAAAATTACTCATGTTTGTTTGGTTCGACCAAATTATATACAATTGTTTTGAGAAGAATAATTTTAAGATTATTTTATTTCTTACAATAATATATTTTATTTTATGTTTGGAATAATATTTGATTTGAATGAATGATTAGTAAAATTATGTTTGGAATCGCTAGACATAGACTTGATAATATATTGATTATAATCTAATGATATTTCAATATTTCACTCTCTTATTTTGAACTCCTCTTAATTCTCTCATTTTATCACTCTCATCATAGAATTTAACAGTCTCCCACAAGAGGATATACAATCTACTAAACAATGTGAATCCAGAGATTTACTTTGCTATCCAAAATTGATATTTAGAATAAACCAACTCACCTAGTTTAATTCATAGCCTTTTATCTCCAAACAAACACAAATATATTGTTTACAGATTTTTTTTTATTTTTTATTTTTTATAAAATAATGATTAGTATGATAGTAGTTAAATTATAATAATATGCCAACATTTTTTCATAAACTTAAATATAAATCTCACTTATCTTAATACCTAAGTATCCTCTCCCTGACCACTTCAATAATTGTCTAGAGTCAAGATTTAAAAGATCTTTCACAGTTCCCTCCATATTGAAGATTGAAGATATATAGATATGATAGAGATACACTCTAGATATCACCTGTCCAGATGAAATGATACCACACATAAATTTGTCATGGTGTTCCAGTGCCCCTGTAGTTGACTAGCTGCTTCATAAACACCCACTTGCTCCTAATCTTTATAGTGAACCCAACATGGAGCTACTGGCCACTTGTTGGGCTTTGTTTGGCCATGATTGAAAAACCAAGTTTAATAATAATAAAAAAAAAGTTTATTTTGTTAAAAAAATATTAAAAATCTTTTGGCTAATCCATTTTTAATATTAAAAAAACTGACTTTATTCACTGTAATAAAAAATTTGAAAATTATAAATATATCAAACAAATTAACTTTTTTATAAACTTGACCTTTAACAAACTTTAAAAGAAAACTATCCTTAAATATAGAAAAATCACTGCTGTATGTTTTTTCTTATTAGAAAAAGATATTTAAAATTTTAGTAATTGGAAAACTAATTTTAATTTTAATTTTAATTTTCGGAAATTACTCACTTCTTAGAAAATATTTTTAAAAAAAAAAATTTGAAATATCAATTGCCTTCCCTAATTACAAACAAGTGTGAGGATCCAAAAATATTTTCTTCACCACTAAGGCGTGCGTGCAAAGTTGAATGATTTTGTTAGATCATATATGTAAATCCAAAATAAGCTGTCACAAGCAAAGAGCTTTTCAAAGTAGGGTGAGTTGGCTCTTTTGGCACTCGAGAAGGAGATAATTATGCTTTCAAAAGGATACTTACCATCCCAGTAAACATTTTCATCATTAATAGAGAGAGAGAGAGAGAGGGGTGGGGGTCCATGTTGTCTCCTTTTTCGTTATTTCACATGCTACTTATTGAAATTTTTACAAGAATCTATCACCGTGAAAAACAAAAACCAAACATTACATCTTACTTTTTAAATAGTTGTTTGTTACAATCATAACTATTTGTAGGGTACGTTTGACATTCAGCTTAAAGATACATATATTTTTTAATTTTTTTTAATTTTAATCATAATTTTTATAAAAAAAAATTTTAATTTTTTCTTTGATCGGTTTGGGGTAACATAATTTATTTTTTTAAAAAGCACTTAAATTTAGTGGAGCTTAAAGGCAATCAGACATCCACTTTATCGTTAATTATTGTTCTAAAAATATCAGTCAATTAACAGAACTTAAAAAAAAAATTGTGTCTTTTTAAACTTATCCAGTTTGACATTTATAAATAAAAAATAATTTTATTCATACACTTAATAAGATATTTATAAATAAAATATAATTTTTAATAAGCTGAAAAAAAAAAATCAACAAATGTCATGCTATTCTTTATTTTTAGAATGTATTTAATTTTTTTAAAATAAATGTACATAATATGTTTAAAATATTTTTTTATAAATTTTACTTAACGAAAATAGATTAAATAAATTAAAATATTAAGATTTAAATTAATAAAATTAAAAAATATACTTATTTAAATTATCCTAAATAACCCCTTATACTTTTATCAGCATACTTTTTTTTTTTTATATATCTTTTTTGGATCATATTACCTCTTTATTTTTTTGTATATTTTTTTAATAAAAATTTTAAAAAATATACTTATTTAAATTATCCTAAATAACCCCTTATACTTTTATCAGCATACTTTTTTTTTTTTATATATCTTTTTTGGATCATATTACCTCTTTATTTTTTTGTATATTTTTTTAATAAAAATTTTAAAAAATATACTTATTTAAATTATCCTAAATAACCCCTTATACTTTTATCAGCATACTTTTTTTTTTTTATATATCTTTTTTGGATCATATTACCTCTTTATTTTTTTGTATATTTTTTTAATAAAAATTTTAAAAAATATACTTATTTAAATTATCCTAAATAACCCCTTATACTTTTATCAGCATACTTTTTTTTTTTTATATATCTTTTTTGGATCATATTACCTCTTTATTTTTTTGTATATTTTTTTAATAAAAATTTTTAAAAATATACTTATTTAAATTATCCTAAATAACCCCTTATACTTTTGTCATAAGTAAACATATACATACTTATATATATAAAAAAAAATTACTACTATAAATTATAAAAGGGAGATGTTTATTCACTGTGCGGATTGAAGCATACTATTAGGCTCGTGGAGTTTATTACAGGTCCTGTTTTAATGATTCGAATCGTTTAATATGTAGAACTCGTCGAGTATTTTATGCCTATAAAAAATCACGTTGATAAAATATCAATAATCCCTTAATTAAAATTCATGATAAATCTTACGAACCCAATAATATGCTTCCATCCACACAAATAGATTGGAGAGAAGTTACAGGGCTCCTCTCCAGTTTGAAAGAGAGTGTTGGGCATTGGTGGGCTTTGACTCGGATCATATCAATCATTCAAATTGTTCAATATATAAAACCTGTCGTGTATATTGTTCTTACAAAAAATCACACTGATTGAATATCGATAACTACGTGATCAAATCATATTTTCAATATAATTTTAAATATAATTTTTGAACGGATCAAGTAATTATCGATATCAAATTAACATAATTTTTTTCAAAAATAATATAATTAACAAATTCTATACATTGAATTATTTAAATTATTGACATGGATCCGAATGAAAGCCCACCAATGCCCAACACTCCTACTGGAGAGGAGCCATGTCCGGAGAGAAGCGTCTCCCATTATAAAACATTACCAAATAACCCTTCATAAATTGACAGTTTTCACCAGCAACTACCATTTTTAAAGCTTAAAAGCTATGACAACGACTGCAGTGGTTTGGCCATTTCATCGTCTACTAGGCACGGCATCTCCAAAATTTGACAACAACTCTTCTCTCTCTCTCTCCTCTTTATATACTGTAAAAAGCTTGGCAGAAGATCTTTCTTTCTTTATGAATGAAAGAGAATCTATGCTCAGTGCTCACCATATGTTTGTTCCTCTGCGGCCCCCACAAAAACAAAAAAATAACCCACCAAACAACAACATAATGCTCTCTCTCTCTCTCTCTCTCTCTCTCTCTCTCTCCAGTATTAGTTTCAGTTTCAGTTTCAGTTTTTGCTACATTAATTTTAAAAGGTAATGAAAGCATGATATGATACACATAATACCAACTTTTTATTATTTGATTTTCTTTTAAAAGTTCTGAGTCCGATGATTATAGCTTCAAAATTCAGCATATAAACAATATATTATTTATATATATATATGCTCGCCGGCGATGCCAACGCCGGTTAGCACAGCCAGGCAATGCTTGACCGACGAGGCGGCTCGTGTTCTCGACGACGCCGTTGCCGTCGCTCGCCGCCGCAGCCACTCCCAGACTACCTCCCTCCACACAGTCTCAGCTCTCCTAGCTTTATCCTCGTCAACGCTTCGCGATGCCTGTTCACGCGCTCGGAGCTCGGCTTACTCGCCGCGCCTTCAGTTCAAAGCCCTGGAGCTCTCCGTCGGCGTGTCGCTCGATCGGCTTCCGACTTGGAAGTCGGCGGCGGCGGAGGAGAAGGAGCCGCCGGTGTCGAATTCTCTCATGGCGGCGATCAAGCGGTCTCAGGCGAACCAGAGAAGACACCCCGAGACATTTCACTTGTACCAACAAATGATTCATCAACAGAACCAATCGTCGATGTCGTGTGTTAAGGTCGAGCTCAAGCACTTCATACTCTCGATTCTCGATGACCCGATTGTTAATCGGGTTTTCGGAGAAGCGGGTTTTCGGAGCTACGACATCAAGCTCGCGGTTCTTCACCCTCCTCCGACTGTTTCCCAATTCCCGAAACCTCGGTGCCCGCCTCTGTTTCTCTGTAATTTTCCCGATTCGGACCCCAATCGCCGCGGATTCAATTTCCCCTTTGCTGGGTTGTCTGGGTCTGAAACCAAAGATGCGAATTGCAGAAGAATTGGGGAGGTTTTGGTGAACAAAAAGGGGAAGAAGAACCCATTACTGATCGGAGTTTGCGCGAACGATGCGCTGAGTAGCTTCAGAGACTGCGTTCAGAGAGGAGAAACAAGTGTATTGCCAGCTGAAATTGATGGGTTGAGATTAGTTTGTGTTGAAAAGGAGATTTCTGAGTTTGTTGACAAAGGTGGAAGTAAAGAAATAATTGATTTGAAGCTTAAAGAAGTGAGTGATTTGGTGGAACATTGTTATTGTTCAGGGACTGGGATTGTGGTTGATTTTGGGGATTTGAAGGTTTTGATTGGGGATGGTATTTCAATTGATGCTGTGAACTATGTGGTTTCACAACTGAATAACTTGGTGGAGGTTCATGGAGAGAAATTGTGGTTGATAGGAGCAGCAGGGAGTTATGAGACATACCTGAAGATCTTAGCTCAGTTTCCTTCTTTGGAGAAAGATTGGGATTTGCAGCTGTTACCTATCACTACTAGTTCAAGTGGAGGATTATCTTCAAAACCCAGGTTTGTGGCCCATCTTTGTATATATTACTTTTGTTTCTAAGTACCTTTTTGAGTTAAAATTTGCATTGTTTAATGGTTGTTTGATGTCATGAATTGAAAAAGAAATGGGCTATTCTTCCACAAATTTGTTACTGATTAAATTAATCTTCCATGGAAAGATGTGGCCACTGAGATATTTTAATTTACCCATTAAATAATTTTTGTTTGGTAGAGATATCTAAATTTGGCCATTAAATAATTGCCACCTAATATTCTTCCACAAATTTGTTACTGATTAAATTAATCTTCCATGGAAAGATGTGGCCACTGAGATATTTTAATTTACCCATTAAATAATTTTTGTTTGGTAGAGATATCTAAATTTGGCCATTAAATAATTGCCACTTTGTTTTGGCTTAAAAGTTGACTTTGTAAAAAAAAAAAAAAATCTCCTTCTTATCAAACCAAAAACTAAAACTAAAACCTAGTAGGGAAAAATAAAATAAAAATAAAATGATTAAAAATGCTGGAAAGTGTCTGTTCCAAACAAGGCCTTAGTTTAAAGGGACATCTGCAGAATTTCGTGTTCATCTTATCATCCAGTGGTATTCATGGTTACTTTTTTTGTGTGCTGATTTGGCACCTTCCACATACAGGATTGCACAGAGCTGGTAAGTAGTGATTCTTGAGTTTTTATTCATTTCCATGTTTCTAAACTAAGATGTGTTACCCTTTTGGTGTAGAAACCTAAATGCTTTGATTTGGAACTTTAAACTGGCCTATGTTCTTTAGTTCCAGAAGATGTAGACAGCATTTCTCTAGATGAGGATAGATGCGTATGGTATAGGAATTTGGGCAATATTTCTAAAGCAAGAAGCGAAAAAGTTGACTTCGAGAAAGAAGGTGCTTAATGTGGCTTAGTGACATGGAAAATTAGGTGATGATATGAAATCCAATATAATAAAGAACTATAATTTTGTAATCTTTCTTACTCTTCTTTTTGCTAGGCATAAGTCTAGATGGTTAGAGGTGAGTTTGATAACTGAGAGAACCTACTGTGAGGTATGATAGGCACAAAAGAGACATTGGACCATCAAGTTGGGATGGGTGAGAACTGAGGTGGCTTTAGGAGGAGAGAGAGAGAGGGCGAGAGAAAAAGGCAGGAGATTCTGAAAATGGTGAACTAGTCTCTAAGTCAAAGGAGATTGATTGCTTGAAGACAAGTGCGGAGAGTTGGTATGTTTATTGATATTTTTTGTATAAAAGATGTAATGGTTTTTTTTTTTTTTTTTCAAAAGAATAGAAAACTCAATCTATAACTTTTTCGTATGATGGATATAGTATCAAACTCAAGCCCAAAGGTTGAATGGCATGGATTTCAAAATCTTCAAGTCTTGTGGTAAAACTAAGATTCTCTCTCAAAAGCTACTAAAATTAGCACACGCCTATAAAATGAAACCCTAAGTCCAATATGTATAGGTCTTTATAGTTGGACAACTTTTTCATACACGCGCTCGTGTTGGCTTCAAACAGGCTTCAAACATGCTTCAGGTGGAGATTTAAGGAGTTTTGTAACTGTATGCATGCATGGCTTCTCTTGAACTTTAGTGGTCTAACTAGGGATTGGAAAAGGACTGGTTAAGCTGGGAATTTTTCGAACTTGTGATCATATCAAGTGATACATAGATCTATCATTTAAGATTTTTGAATTCTCCATGTGTGCATGTACTGTAATTTGTACGCCATCTCACTTCTATTTGTTAAAATTGGTTCCAAAAATGTGTATACATTTAGGTACAACCGTGTATAGATGTGAAAATTTTAGCCCCTGACTGTTTCTATCCAATGGATCTCACAGTTCCGTGCTCATGATATCCTTACAGCTTGATGGGGTCATTTGTTCCACTTGGTGGGTTCTTTTCTACACCATCTGATTTCAAGAATCCATTAAGTAGCACAATTCAGTCCACTTGCGATCCCTGCAAGGGGAAGTATGAGCAAGAAGTTTCTGTTTTATTGAAGGGAGGATCGACTACTTCGGTTGCTGACCAGTACTCAGCAAATTTGTCTCCTTGGTTACAGATGGCTGAATGTGATGCAAGCAAGGTCGTGAAGGTGTGTACTAGTCCAAATATTTAGCTCATTAACCCTCTTCTCGCCCCACACACATGCACAAACAAAGATACACATGCCACAATACTACATATTTCATTGTTTAATTTGTGAAAATGTTTGGGTAAACATGCACTCCATTATATCAGTGCAGGCCAAAGATGATGACACTGTATTGAATGCAGAAGTTATGGGTCTACAGAAGAAATGGAACAATATCTGTCAGCGTCTTGATCCCAATATGCCATTCCATCCAGATATTTCACAGACCAATTCACAAATTCAACATTTTGGGGGGTTTCAATTTGGCGCGGATAGGATAGAAAGTAACAGTAAAGATTCATCTTCAAACGAGATCAGATCTTCCAATCCAATGGACATACAGAAGATTTCTTCCCTGCAACAAACTATAGCATCACCATCTTCAGTTACTTCTGTGACCACAGATTTGGGGTTGGGAACACTTTACGCCTTTGCTGGTCAAGAGCGTGGAAAACCCAGAATTGAAGATCACAAGAGTCGTCTTCACTTCTTTTCAGGTTCTGTTACTGCCGAGTTTGATGGGTTCAGTGGCAATTCATCAGATCATATTGCCTCTCCTTCGTCATGCTCTGGTCCTGACTCGGGAGGGCAGGTAGATCTGAAAGATTTCAAGTCCCTTTGGAGAGTACTAACTGAAAAGGTTGGCCGTCTAGTTGAAGCCACTTGTACTGTTAGTCAAACTATATCGCGTTGCAGAACTGGACATGGAAGGCTTCGTGGTTCAAATCAGAAAGGAGACATTTGGCTCAGCTTTCTTGGACACGACAAGGTGGGAAAGAAGAGAATTGCTGTAGCACTCGCTGAGATAATGTTTGGGAGCAGGGAAAATTTTATTTCTGTGGATCTGAGCTCTGAGGATGGGTTAAGCCGTTCATTCTCCATCTTTGACCGCCAAAATTTAAATCATTATGATGTAAAGTTTAGGGGAAAGACAGTTGTTGATTATATTGCTGAGGAGTTGAGGAGAAAACCTCATTCAGTTGTGTTTCTTGAAAATGTAGATAAGGCCGATTTCATGGCTCAGAGTAGCTTGTCGCAGGCTATCAGAACTGGTAAATTTCCTGATTCGCACAGGAGAGAAGTAGGAATCAACGATGTGATCTTTGTGACTACATCAGATACGACAAAGGTTAAGAAAGAAACTATTTCCAGGAAAGAACATGTTGAATTTTCGGAGGAAAGAATTTTAGGAGCCAAAGGCTGGCAAATGCAAGTCTCAGTCGTATGTGTTGCTGGTGATACCACTAGAACCAACGGGATCATGAATGTGTCGGTTATACCAAGGAAAGGAAACTCAATGCCAATGTCTGGGAACAAAAGGAAGCTAATTGACATGAACGAATCCATGGATCAGGACAAGACCTTGGAGATACCAAAACAGGCTTATAAGCCATCATCGGCATCCTGCTTGGATTTAAATCTACCGGCAGAGGAGGCAGAAAATAATGATTTTGGAAACTGTGAAAGTGACTCCAACTCAGAAAACTCAGAAGTTTGGTTGGAAGATTTCTTGGATCAAGTAGATGAAAAGGTGGTCTTCAAGCCCTTTGATTTTGATTTACTTGCAGCAGAAGTGGTGAAGGAAATGGACAAGACATTCCAGAGGACAGTAGGGTCCGAGGTCTTGCTTGAGATCGATGAAGAAGTGGTGGTGCAAGTACTTGCAGCTGCTTGGTTATCAGATAAGAAGAGAGAGGTGGAGGATTGGATTGAACAAGTTCTCAGCAGAACTTTTGCAGAAGCTCAGCAGAGGTACAAGCTGACTGCTAAGTCTATTGTGAAACTGGTTGCTTGTGAAGGGCTTTTCGCGGAAGAGAAAGCTCCGGGAGTCTGCCTTCCCGCCAGAATTCTTCTGAACTGATTTTGTTTTTGGTTGTTGAAGTATGCTTCTTAGTGTAAGTAAGCATGTATGTATAAAGTTTTAGCATCTAAAAAAAGCCCATATTCCAACAGGTAATCATGGCATAGTCTTGGTGGAGCTGCTTCAGAAAATTTTTATGTTGTATAAAATACAGTTGTAATGTTGCATAATGGATCATATTCTTAGTTCACATGTAAACTCTCTCTCTCTCTCTCTCTCTTATTATTTTTTATTTTATTTTAGTCTCAATAAGTAGCAGAATTTGAAAGAAGTTCAATAGAAACAGAGTATTTCATAAGCAAAGAAGGGTGGCTAAAGTGGATCTTTGGTGGGAATTGAACATGCCAAATAAATCAACTTTTTAGCCTTAAACCAAAAAAATGTCATTGTGATTGTCATTAATTAAAGTTTCATTGTAATAGGAGTGTTGAATTGGTTTCCATAATAATGAAATTTGAGGCTGCAATTTGATAGTAATATACAGGAGTGTTGAATTGGTTTCCATAATAATGAAATTTGAGGCTGCAATTTGATAGTAATATACCATTAGTTTGACAAGGTCAATTTGTTAAGTCTCAAGAGACATATAGTAACTAACAAAGATTTTAAACATTTTTTTTGTGCAGGGTGATCAATTTGGCAGTGATGGATGGCAACCCTGTTTACAATATTAAATTAACAAAATATTAAAAAAAAAAAATTTTAAAAGAAAAAAGAAAAAAGAAAAAAGATGAAGTGATCACACAGTTCAATATTTTATTATTTTTGAGCTGTTGCTACATGAAGGCCCAGTGGACCTATTTCATTGGGCCTCAATTGGGATACTTTGCATGTAACAGGACAAGACATAAATCAGTCAATAAATTGTGAATTGAGCACCCAATTGTCTAGTTATACCATATTAGTTTATTTAGCCCATTTTATTAAAAATGTCAAGTGTTATTTGATAAGTTCATTTCTAATATATAAAAATAAAAATAAAAATACAAATTAACCGAATTTGCTTATGCTAAAAATTTATAAGCGAAGAAAAAAAGATAAAAATTAACCAACACGCCAACTTTTTTGTAAATTTATTTTTAACTAATAAGCTAATTTTTTAGCCAACTTTCGAAAGAAAGCCCAACAAAAAGTTTAATTATCAAATGCAATTAAATCAATTTTTTGGCTGATTTAATTTTTTTTGTTAATCATTACAACATAATCTTAGTTTGGATATTCAACAACACATTACCACTTGCATACAACAAACCCAACTATTACTTAAATAAATAAAAAATCTAACATATACACACATAAGTGAGAATTGAACCCCCTAGTGAGATGGGCTATCATAGGATTAATTGAAATGTTTTACCTTTACATTTTAATATTAAGCTACTTGAAAGTGTTTAGCACTTCTAATTCATTATTAAGAAGTTTTACTGCTTGTTCATAATATTTTCACAACCAGAATTGTAATTTATCACTTCGTTTATTTCACTATTTTATTTCCTTTCTTCTTGTGTATTTTTTTTAATAAGAAAAATGTTTGGTAGTTTGAATTTATCTGGTCTGAATGGTTCGAATGTATCAAAACGACGCCGTTTTGACACATTCGAACCATTCAAGCAATGAATTTTTGGGCCACCATGCCTTACTGTTTTAATAAATTTTATGTGTATATAAATGACTCATTATATCTTTAAAAAAATAATAAAATCTATCATGACATATAAAAAGCCACATAATAGAAAAAAAGACTTTTAATAAAATGTGATATATAACAGTTCTTTTTAATAAATTCGTAGTTCACAAAGTTGACCATTCGATTAGATAATCTTCATAAGTTCAGTCGTCACCAAATAAATAAATAAAATAATAATAAAATTGTTAAATCCATACATTTTTAAATTGTGTTCCCAACTGTTCTTCTCATTATTCCCACGTTGCAGAAGAAATAACGGGACATAAGATTATAATGGCCGTGAATTTGACAATCCTTCTTTTAAAATATGTGTATGATGGTTTTTTGGCTTTTAAAGGTTATTTTTGTAATTGTGAGTCTGTCAGTAAGGATCAATCAGTCCTTACAGAATATTAATTGCCAACCAATTATCAGACGATTGTGTTTTAGTTCTTTCAGTTTCAATGAAGAAGATTTTTACTGGTAGCTTTGTTTAGGAGAATTAAGTAAACAATGATTGAATGAAGAATAATTGTAGCATTTCATTGAGTAAAATGAAAGACTTACAAAGATCCAAATCAGTCTTGTAGAGGTTTATAACAACAAACTACTTGAAACTACTTCTATGAACGAAGTGCAGTGCAGAAATTTGAAGTACATAAATGTAAAGAACAAGAAATGTAAAAACTGGAAGGAAAAATAAAGTAGATAAAATTGATTTTTTAGATCTGAGTCAGGGGGCATTTTCTGGGGCCTTCTCTGCTGTTTATACTTCTTAATGACAACCGTCGAACTGCATTTCTAACCGTCAAATCATCCCTCCATAGTCGCTGATCATGCTGCCTTATAATTAGCTCCACTATATCATATTTGCAGTTAGGCTTCCCTCCTGACTTTGAATTTAAATATGAGTAACCATTGAAGCCACGTCATCTTGCATCTCTTCGCTGATTCAGTACTATGCAGATCTACAATAAACCAATGTTGACTGCCACGTGTGTGATTATGATTGAAGATTTGAATTGTCGTCCCGTATTGCCCTTATCCTGCCACGTGTCAAACTGTGATTGACTTGTACAAAATATGTAGCCAACAACATAATTTCATTATGCTATTTTATTTTTCTATTTTTAATGTATGAGCAAACAAATCTTGGATAACCATCCCATAGAATGGAAATAATTTTTTGTTGAACCTTCGTTTGGAATGTGGGTTAATTTTTTAATTTTTTGTCTTTTTAATTATTTTAGCCTGGGCTAAAACTTTGGAAAGAAACTAAAAAAGTCAATTTTTTGATTTTTTAGCTTTTTTAACCAAAGAAGTCAGCTTTTTTAGTCAAAGAGGTCAGTTTTTTTTGCCAAAAAGTCACCAAAAAAGTCAAAAAGTCAAAAAGATAGTTTTTTACCAACTTTTCAAAACACCACAAAGTATAGTTTGAGATAGACTTTTTGGATTTTTTGACTTTTGTAAAAAAAAAAATAAAAAAATTATGATTTGGATGTGATGTGATGTGTTATCTTATTAAACTAAAAAGTCTATTTTATCATTTTGTAACTATTTTAGCTCAAAACGAAGCCCATGAATAATCTTCTCTCAAAGGTCCTCTCTTTGATGCAATTTATGAGATTCCTTAATAAAGTATTCTTGTTTTCAACAATTTGTATTAAAATGTTTGATGTAACTTTCATACTTATGAGATAAAAATCATTTAAATAAACTAAAAAAAAATGATTATTAAGAAATTGAAAGAAAAATATTTTTAACTTTTACATTTTATTATTAATTTTTAACTTATAAATTACACCAAATAATTCAAATAGTAAACCGTTTGTAAAACATAAGTTAAAAAAGTATACCAAATAATTCAAATAGTAGACCGTGTGTAAAACGATACATCCCAATAACAGATGTGCAAGGTGGATGTATAATATTCACCTACTTTGTCAGATGAATGAACAAAAATGAGTAAAAATGAGCAAGATGATGGCGGGTGGTGGCTAGTGTTGGGTGGTTAAAAAAAAAAAAAACTCAAAACTCAAAACGGAAAAACATTTTTTGAGTTTAAATTTTTTGGCCAAATTTATAAACTGAAACCACTGATTTATAAATCAAAAATTTACTAAACAAGTTTTTATTTGAGTTTTTTAAATTTTTGTAAATATAAACAGAAAACTAAAAACGTAAGTGTTACCAAACGGCACCTAAGCAACTTGAAAGTGTTTAACACTTCTAATTCATTATTAAGAAGTTTTACTCCTTGTTCATAATATTTTAACAACAAGAATTGTAATTTATCACTTCGTTTATTTCACTATTTTATTTCCTTTCTTCTTGTGTATTTTTTTTAATAAGAAAAATGTTTGGTAGTCTGAATTTATGTGGTCCGAATGGTTCGAATGTATCAAAATAACGTCGTTTTGACACATTCGAACCATTCAAATCATGAATTTTTGGGCCACCATGCCTTACTGTTTTAATAAATTTTATGTGTATATAAATGACTCATTATATCTTTAAAAAAATAATAAAATCTATCATGACATATAAAAAGTCACATAATAGAAAAAAAGGACTTTTAATAAAATGTGATATATAACAGTTCTTTTTAATAAATTCGTAGTTCACAATGTTGACCATTCGATTAGATAATCTTCATAAGTTCAGTCGTCACCAAATAAATAAATAAATAAATAAATAAAATAATAATAAAATTGTTAAATCCATACATTTTTAAATTGTGTTCCCAACTGTTCTTCTCATTATTCCCACGTTGCAGAAGAAATAACGGGACATAAGATTATAATGACCGTGAATTTGGCAATCCTCCTTTTAAAATATATATATTGATTTTTTGACTTTCGAAGATTATTTTTGTAATTGTGAGTGTGTCAATAAGGATCAATCAGTCCTTATAGAATATTAATTGTCAACCAATTATCAGACGATTGTATTTTAGTTCTTTCAGCCTCAATGAAAAGGACTTTTACTGACGGATTTGTTTAGGAGAATTAAGTAAACAATGATTGAATGAAAAACAATTGCATCATTTCATTGAGTAAAATGAAAGACTTACAAATATCCAAATCAGTCTCGTAGAGGTTTACAGTACCAAACTACTTGATATTACTCCTATGAACGAAGTGCAGTGCAGGAATTTGAAGTACAGAAATGTAAAGAACAAGAAATGTAAAAACTAGAAGGAAAAATAAAGTAGATAAAACTAATTTTTTGGATCTGAGTCTGGGGGCACTTTCTGGGGCCTTCTCTGTTATTTATACTTCTTAATGACAACCGTCGAACCATCCCTCCATGGTCGCTGATCATGCTGCCTTATAATTAGCTCCATTTTGCCATATCTGCAGTTAGGTTTCCCTCCTGATTTTGAATTTAATATGAGTAACCGTTGAAGCCACGTCATCTTGCATCTCTTTGCTGATTCAGTGCTATGCAGATCTACAATAAACCAATGCTGACTGCCACGTGTGTGATTATGATTGAAGATTTGAATTGTCGTCCCGTATTGCCCTCATCC